ATAGAGGTAGCTTAGGTGTGTCCTGTAGATATCACACATTCATCGATGCCGCCTCCTTTCCGGTCTGATGAGGCGCTGTATACCTCCTCCATTCCCTCCAAACGCTAGTGGCCTGAGCTGTAATCTTGGTATCGCGCGCAAGTCAAGTCATCGTCCGATTGTATAAGAACGAGTCGATGTCACTCTACATCGATCGCTGGTACTTTCGATCGCAAGTACGTCGATATACATGTATTGTGCTGATCCTCCCAGTATTCATAATTTATACAAAGAAGCAAGATGCAACAACGCACCGGCAAGTCCCGCTCGTTTTCCGATCAACACGAGAAAATGCAACGTAAAATTTCCCCAACCCACGTGGGAAAAGGAAAACCTGTTCACGCCTTACCAGCACTTCGGGAATGACCCCAATCTAAACCCACGCACGACCGAGCCCAACCCAACCACCTTTCTCCACTAACGCAATCCCCCATCGCGAACAACAAACATTTCCACGATCGTCGACGTCATCGTATACAATGTCAAACACACTCACTACACTTACCCCTTACAGCGGCTATACATCGGATAAGGAAACGTGCCGATACCCGAAAGCCCCCAACCGATAACACAGCAGCCCGAAACATTTCGGGAGATCGACAAATCGACAATTGGCATGTCTGTCTAGTCCATTCTGTTCGTTGTGCACATGTGCATATGCCATATTGCCGAATGCGGACCTGAGAGTGCAGGTGGTGCTTCGAAACCTGTTTCGCTACTGTGATCATGGTCAAAGTCAGGCAAGACACTCGATGCGAATGCCGTATCAGTGGCCCGTACGAGGCTAGTTAATTGTCACCACGACTATGGTGGTTTGGTAGCGTGGCCATTGTATTAGAAGCACTACGTGTGCGGATGGTCGGGTCTTAAGGCGTTCCATTGGTTTGGGGGATTCGGGTCGAGTGTGGGTTAGCCAAGGCAGGTTTCTTGTCCTTGTGTCGTTCTAGATTGGGGAACGTTGGGTCCGAAGTCGTGATTTCGGCTTGAGCCGAAGGATTTGCGGCTAAGGGGTTGTAGATGGGACTTGGTAAGAGTGACTGTGAGCCATGTCGTGCATGCAGGCGGGTACTGTGGGTATTTGATAAGCATATCCTTCCAGAATGTCACTCAGGCACTCAAATATACCTGGTTGGGGTTGGGATTGAAGCTCGTAGTCTACCACGAAGATCTGCGAAGATACGAACAGCCAGCCACTGTGATTTCAGTAATCACAGTAAAACACCAAGAGCAGTTCCTCGTGCCCGGCATTGAGATCGGCAAACCCCAGAGAGGGCGGAATATGCTTTCGGTATGTCTAAGCTAGCCGCATGGCTTTGCTTCTTCTACGTTGTACTGGGCTAGTCACCGGAGCTTAGATGTTTTAGCACATGTTGGGCGTGTATCGAAAAGGGAGAAAAGAAAAACTTCGCACCTTTGCCGTGATCGAGCAGAGAAAGTCTGTCGAGCCCGACATTAGGTGCCGCTGTCTGCTATCTGCTATCGTCGGCGGGATGATGACAATCGCTGGTAGGTATCGACGCGTACGTCTCACGATACCCACGCGGGTCTAGTCGGCGATGGAGTGCAAAAGTCAGCTGCATGCATCGAATCCAGTCGCCGTATCAGCAATGTGCCGACCACCGCAGTATCTTTAGAGGACAGCTCGTAATTGCCGAGGGATGTTTCGAGACATGTGGAAGTGAGGTGAGAGATCGACTGGATATGTTCGCGCAACCTCATGTCATCGTACGACTGGGGTGATGATTACCAGATTCGCGGTACCGAAAAAGGCTCGCGCGGCGGGGAAAGGGAGGCTGCACGGCTACACCACTTTGAGCGGTTCGGCCAAGCCCTTCTCCACATTTCTGATTGGTGGCTCATCGCACATACTGGCCCAGATTCTGTCAAGAGGCTCTCTTTGACCATGGGATTGATTGATGATCACCAGCAACGCTTTCGCCGTTGCCTACGTACGGTGTAGCAAGGCGATCGATTCGATTTTACGCTACTCCAATGACTATCCCCCAATACTAAACCCCGCAACTGCTGTGGTCCTCATCCGGGTGTGTAAGCGCACGCCGCATGCGCGTACAGATGAACACATGCTTACAACGTGGTTGAGACAAGATGCGGGAACGGTGGGGACCTGGTGGGATGCGGAGAACGCTCCAGAATATTCAACGGGATCGGCGACTGCAGTTTGACGTCAAAAGTCGCATACTTCAGATAACCGTCGTCCCGAATTCTGATGTGGAGACGCTGTGGTATTTGCGATCGTGGTATGTTCAGTGACCGCCGTTGTGCTTTGAAGAGTAAAATTCGCATCGAGGTATTACCTGCAGCCACAGTGCACTACCCGATAGAGTTTGCTTCCCATGCTTTGCTTTAACACGTTCTAGCGATACGGGAAAGGACCAAGTGCCATGTTACTTGGGCGTATTCCATTGCACTGTCTGCTCCACACTTTGTGGCGTGCGTATAGCCCTAGTCTCCTTCGAGAATATGAGGTTTGGATAACCTTTCTCGCTGGGGTAAAGGAACACGGATAAGCGGCAGAAGAGCCTTTATCTCTCACCGGACCTGGAGCTAGATGTTAGGCGGCCGCGCAAGCAACGTTGTGTGACGTCGTGCTGTGGGCCAGTGGCTGGAGGTCTGGACAACTCGATCTTCGGACGTTCCCGTCCGAGTCATGGTTACTAGAGGTGATTGATGAAAACAGTGGAGTGTTGAAGACTGATTGCTAAATTAGAATTGACGCAGACGTACAGATGATGCGTGGGTTGACGTTGAGGCTTTGGTGACTTTACAGATAGGTGCAGTGACGGACTGGAGGAGCGAGTGTCAAATGACTTCAGCGTGCATGCATAATGTGGACTTCGTGAGAGACGTTGATGTATTTCATTTGTAGGAGTCGACTGCTGAGTCAACGTCTTCAACTTGGTGCTAGTTCTTATCCAATGTTGGAGACGGATTCCATCGAGATAATGCAATGAAGATCTACGCGTGCCAGCCACGGTAGACGATCTTAGTGCCGTACTTCTCACCCTTCTTGAGAACCATCATAGACTTGTATTCCGGAACGTTGACGGCGTTTACGTAGCGGCTGGGTTCGACGCAGAAGCCAGCGCGGGCGCCTCTGGCGGGAAGGTCACCAACGGCGGGTACATCGATGTATTTACCAGTGTAGAATTGGAAGGCCGGTTCCGTCGAGTGTATTTCGAGGTGGATCTTGGTATCTGGGTGGTAGAAAGACGCAAGCTTCTGCAGGGGCGAAGAGCGAGTGTCGATGGGAATGCTGCTGGGGTCTGTGTTGGCCACAAAGCAGTCGTCAATATCGGGCTCTTTCTCGCCCAGGGTGAAGGTCTTCTTGGCGCTGACACCGGGGTATTCCTCGATGGGTCCAGTGGGAATACCTCCGTCATCCACGACTTGGTACTTGTTTGTGATGAGGTTGACTTCAGTTCCGGTGATGGTAGGTCCTCCAGACAAGTTGAAGTAGCTATATGCACTCTCAGTAAGACGTCAATGAAAAGGATGATAGACAACTAACCTGTGGTTGGTCATGTTGATTGCGGTCTCTTCGACTTCATCACCGATCAGTTCAGCCTCGTATTCGATGTATAGGACCTCCTGTTGAGCGCCATCGAGTTCCTCCTTCGCTTGGATATACCACACGCGCACCTCTACAGTACCGGGGTAGCCTTCCTCGCCATCCTTGCTGACGTATTTGAACAATGTAGCCTCTTTTCCATTACGGTCAACTGTAGTTGGCCCTTCGAATTCTCGCTTTCCCCAGCCAAGGTCGCCGCCGTGGAGAGAGTTGGGGCCGTTGTTGACCGCTAGTTGGTACGACTTTCCATTCAGGTCGTTGATCTTCGCTTTGGATACGCGGTTGGCGATGCGGCCAATAGTCTCACCAAAGAATGGGGCATTGTGCTGCTTGTACAGCTCCGCAGTAGGGAAACCCTGGACGATGTTCTTTCCGTTTACAACGAACTTTTGGATGATAGCGCCCAGTGGCAGAAAGGTGAAAGCCTTGGTCGAAGACATAATGCGATCGTCAACGTGACTGCTCTAGTTTTGTGATAGGCTCGCAGATGCGATATTTGGTACGTCTGACCTGCGTCGATCTAATTAGTTGTGTTGTTCAAACGCTATAACGGGTGCCACTATTGCTGCACTTTGGTGAGGTCTGATGTGGTGTGATGAGGGGTAATGCGTGAGAGCGGGGCAGCTACAGGAGGGCACTCACCTCAGCGAGTGGTAGCTTGCGTTCAGTGTTTTGTTTGTTTTGGAACAGGTGACCGATTTTCCTCGATGGCCGCTTGGATGTTTGAGCTTTTGACTGCGAGAGATGAGTGCGCGCGATTGACCTTACATAGAGTACGTATGCGGTGATTGATTAGCCTAATGAGGATGTGGAGCACTCTTGGACATCCTTTCTGCCGTCGTCACCACGTGAAGTACGGCTGAAGTGTCGCTCGCGAGTACCAAACGACCCGTCGGACGGCATGCCGTATGCGGTCATGGTTCGCCTGTGCCCATGGAGCTGTGGCAGTGCGGATGAATGTGATGGGGGCGTGGGGCGAAGGCTGCAATTAGTAATCGAGGGGCAGGGCGCGCACACTGGATTCCGCGAGCATTGAGAACAACATCTTCGACTATGATACAGTTGAGATTTACAGTAACGCCACCATTTCGATCGCCTTGCCGGTCGGTACTACCGACCTGAGGCCCTATTCGAATTTGCCGATCCGCGGAGCGTTGTCGCAACTATGCTTTGCGCAATATTTCACGTCATCGTGAACCGTCGAACTTTCGACACAGAAGATAAGGAAAAGTCGCCAGAAAACCACCAAATGCCGGCCGATTAACGCCGATTGCCATGACCGAAACGAACGCCGTATAGGATTGGAAAGGATCCCAGAACGCTTGAACGCTAAACGAAGAGACGGAGAGAAGCGGAGTTAAGTCCGGACCAATTATGCGCCGACTGGATTTTGTATGAAACTGCTGAAATCCAGGTCGCTGTGGATGTTCCAGTCTGGCATCATCGGATCGCTTTGGCTCATTGATAGGGGATCTACCATCATGTTCTGGTCGTATGCGCTGAAGTTGTCAAATCCATACATGGGCTTGCTGAAGTCTACGGGATCGTCCATCATAATGGAGTCGTTCATCCATGGCGCCCGTGAGAGAGTGGAAGGATCCATAGCGCTGTTGTTCATGTATGGTGCTGGTGCCATTTGTGGTTCTTGCTTGATTGGCGGCGACACTACCTGGGACTGTCGAGGGAATGGGCTGTTCATCGGCGGTGTTGGCGGCGCGTTGTGGCGCGCAAACGGACTGTCAAAAGCGAAAGATTTGGTCGTCGGTGTACCGTTATACGATGAGTTTGGCGAAACGTGGCCATGTTCAGAGTCTGAGCTAACGGATGCCCGTCGTCGGGTGTATGGGGCGCCTCCTTCAACTAGTTTTTGTTGCATGCGGCTGCAATCTTCTTCGAAACCCTCATAGTGGCTCTTGTCGTCTCCAGGTGATTGCAAAAGATCGAGACGTTCCAGGATGTCGTGTGTCAAAGGATGGCCGCCTGAGGATTCTTGCAACGGCTGTCCTGGCCAACTCTCGCCTCGTTGCAGGCGACTGTACAGTTCCCTAAGACCGGCTACCAATTGGGTTTGTTGCTGTTCGAGCATCTCAACATATCTACAACAGTCAGATCGAAACTTATTGCGAGGGTGCATGGTAACATACCCTTTCGGGTACACTTTGTCTTGCGACTTCTTCCTCTCGCCAAATACGCAGATGGCGTTGTCGGCTTTGCATCGAGTGCAAGGGCTTGATCCGTCGCACTGCACTGGTTAGAAAGGCATACAGACACAAAAGAGGTCGTACATACCTTTGACTTCTTCAATCGGCATCGGTCGCATGCCTTGCATACTCGCTTCCTAATGTTGTCTTGGGCTTCCATCGAGTCTGACCTATGAGGTGACATGTCGATTGGTATGGTACAAAGTGGAGCAAAGGTGTGTTGGTGAGAATGGTGTGGCTGAGTTGGACTTCAAGTCAATGTGGTAGTGGTCGATGAGATATGTGGTCGACCGAGTGGAGTATCTAAGGGTACTTTTATCGAGAGGTGGAAGTGGAAATTAAGGCCTAAATAAGGTCGTAGCCCTCTGTGGGTAGCAAAGCATTATATCTTTTCACGTCAGCGAACAGTCAAGGCGGACGTTCGGCGTTAACCTTGTGCCCTGGGTGCAAAAGCCCTGTAATGGAACTGTAATTATGAAATACGCCGGCGCTGGGCAGCTAAGCACCCCTGTCTCCTTACACATCATCAATCGGCGCACGTACGTTGGATTACATTAGTCGATGTGCAGGGATTCTTGGCCTGTTGCAGGGCGCCAACCTTACAAGGACTGGGCTCAGTTGGCGGACGACACGAGAAAGCGAGGGCGCGGAGTCGGCCAACCAGCGGACCGTGACCGTGGCCCACGAAACTTGCTATGGAAGAAAATCCGCACCTGTGGTGGCAGCAGAACAGGTGACGTGAATTCGGCGAATACGCGGGCGTAAAGTACGCTCGAAAATCTCTCCAGATCGCTGTTCGCTGTCCTCGGCTACCGGCAACACGACATCCACGACCAAAAACATGCGGACAAACACGCTGCCCGAGTTGCGACTCCCAGTCATTGGATGCTTTCCAGAAGTCGTCATCAAGGTCGACCATGTGGCTCACCATGTGCGCGGTCTGCAATCAGTCCACCGGTCATCATTATGCTTTATCACTAATTGTGTTATTTCGACCGCTCGTCGACAAAGTATCATGTACAGACTCAGGCCTCGGCCGAAGAAAAGCACGACGGGCTGACTGAGCGATCCTCCTCGTGCTTGCTGAAAATTCGCTCTTTCGGACGTTAGAAAATCGCTCGCGGAACGTCGCAAGTGACCCGTCCGAGCTGAAAGAGGACTGGAGCGCGAGATAAGCTGTACGATGGTGCGGGTTTCGCGTACGAACTCACGCAAAGTACCGTCAATGCCTGACCAGCAGCAGTTGATTGATCGGTGGACAGGCAAAGCACAGCTGTGCACGCATTCCTTCTTCAGGAGCTGCATGCTGTTAATGGATACCGTCGCTTGTCAATGTAAGCGCAGCTACTCTCAGCGGTTTGCATCGTTTAGAGTTGCTGACCGCGTCTTGTCCAGTCACGAACATGAGAATGCCCAATGCAGGATTTCTTTTGTTGATCCTGGTTAGCCACTTCGTTCCTGAGTCTTGGGTAGGCACGATCACCCATGCCTCAGCCACCGCGTACATCGGCCCCGGTTGTTCACTCATCCATACTCATCTATACTCATCTGCGACTTTGGTAGCCCTTTGCACTCAAGCACCGCTGCATGTGCCATTGGCAAGGCATACAACTACATTGGTTTGGGAGATTTGATGTTGGAAGACCCACACAAAGCGTCGTCAGGTTGGGGGGCTGAGGTCATTTTCGTACATTGTTGCGAACGCCGTATTCATCACAAGTTCGACACGCCTATACGACGCCTACGCTGACAAGACCTGCCATGTCTTGGCGGACGTGATCCTGGGGCGCTCATACAGTTCACGCGCTGCGAATGTCACCGCCCGCAAACGTGTAAGCGCCTTCATCACACCTGCATGCGTGGAACTATGCGCAAGAAACATGAGCTATAATTGCGTTCAACGGTTCTCACGAGGTTCGCCCCTTGAATTCAGGGAACCCGCTGACGCTTGAACGTGTATATACGCCTCAGCACCCACGCTGTCCTCCCGGAGCCCATAGCTCGTTAGCGGTAACGGCACGTCTACTGTCCATCTCAATAGTGAGCGGCTTCGGCGAGTTATCTCGCCTTGCTGAATGGCTTACGAACTGACCAGTGCGGAGTTGGCAAGAGCGATCATGTAAGCCCATGATCTTGTTTGTAAATTCGGCGGTTCTCGAACACCTCAGGGTTCTTGTCGATCAACCCCGCTGTCATTAGGCCTTTGCTCTAATGGAAGCTTCCTAGCTTTCTACAAGTTACAGAGAGCGTCACTCAGGAACGAGCGTGTGCCAGAGCTGTATCATTACAGGAATGAAAGTAATCAGGTCCAAAGTTCAGCAGCTGTACGGCCTTCTTTCTGAGGTCAAATACAGCGGTCTTCCTTGTCGCGTTGGGCGAAGAGCACCTATCCTGCCCAACCCCATCTTGGTAAAGTTTCATGGTTGTTGTGGGAATCGCGATGCACATCTCCCCATTATCGCTACCTGCGAAATGATGGTCCGTTATCTTCACACCGTCAGGAGTCTGCGTGCGCTTACATGGGCCACGCATGAATTCCAGTGAGACCATCCGCACTCCGTCGATGATGATTGGCAAGATCGACAGGCTCTGGCTTACATAACTTGATGAGATGGCCCTATTCATATTGGTCACGACAGGGGTATAGCATCAAGACCTCGTCGACCCAGCCTGCGTCCTATAAGCGGCCTTACTCAAGGCCAAGCCCGACAATAGCACCTGCACTGCCAGCCAGCAAGGCATTGTCAATCGCAGGTCTTCGAACGCGCCGCTGATCTATGCAGAACCCAGATAATGCCAGCCGTGTTGAGTTTATTCATTGCACGTTTCAACACCAAGTCGATCACACGATCGTGCCAAAAGGAGCCAAGAGGCAGATGCGTCTTGGATGGGTGGAGCGCACATGTCGAGTCACTAGCCACATGCGCCAGCCACAACGCGCGACCTCAGGCCTCGCTTGTTTTGACGGATCGCACATGAGCCGGGTGCCGAGTGGCCAACGGTCTCACGAAGGAACAGTACTCTGATGGGCGCACAACGATCCGTTTTTACCGAGCGACCACTGCAAATTGTAAACTCGTGGCAACCCTCACTAATTCACGGAGACAGATTACTGGTCGGGCCATACTGGGTCGGGAGACCAAGACTTCCGCCCAGGTGTCGGTAGGTCAGCCTGAACTCCGCCTCATGATCTCCACAAATCGCTTCCTAAACAACGAGGACTAATGATCACGGGAACCCTACCTGGTCCCGGCGCCATATAGGGGCCTCATTTCGATTCGAGATCTAAGTGTAGAATACTTGCGCATCGAGCCACATGCCGCGCATCCTGGGCATCTCAGACTTCCAAGCCTCGAAGCAACGTGTACCTCGTAATGAGGAGTCTTCTGGCGCCAAGGTTTAGCTGGCGGTGTCCATTCTCCGCTACTGTGGTAGGGACGAAAATACGCGGCACCCATCATGCTCGGCAATGCAGTGGCTTCCGGCTTGGAACATCCGAAGCCGAGTCAAACGGTCGTTGTGAACACCGCGCGACCGAGCCTGGCCCTGAAAGCTCTTCGCGGCTAGGGTCCCAGGTCCCTCGTCTTCGCGCTCGCTATCCAACGCGAAATGATGTCAATGAACCTGAAAACACAACTTCATTCACATGGCTAGCTCGCTGCAGCTTCTCAGTCATCGATAAGCCGATTTTCGCGATGAAATGTGGCTGACGAAAAATCGGCCGGTCTTCCTGTGCGGGCAAGCCGCACGTCGCAGCCGAGTTGAGCCTCATAGACGGGAATAGCAGTGAGGCGAATCACCAAGGTCGTTCCGTTCCCACTTGGTCCCGCTGGAAAATTCAAGGCTGAAAGCTTCGACGCTTGTGTACTACTACGGTCTGCCCACCCACGTCACATCGCAGACAGCCACGTTGTTGAGGTCTCGAACAACGGATGCTCACTAAGGAACAGTGCTTTGTGGATCTCTGAAGAGCCTGAGGAGGAAGGTTGACGCGAAAGCCGTACACCACCAAATACCAAGCTGAAGCACTATTGACTAAACCTTCGCCTGCTGGTCAGGCTTTGAGATACTAATCATGTTCAGACGGTGCTCAGACACTTCTCATGGCACGGCGCATCTCAACGCACTGGACGGCATCAACATACCGACATCATAGCATGCATCACCCATGAGACAGCATTGCGAATTGCTGCAGCTATCACGTCTCGGCAATATCCGCAACGCGAAGGACCTGGTGATCAATGATCGACCCGTTAACAGCATATCCACTGCTGGATGGGGAACCCCAGCTCCAAGCGCCAGCACACTGGTTTCGCCGAGAGCAAAATGCATCCCCACTTGGACCATGACAGCGAGGGTCGAGACTTGTTTCATGAGTGCGCGTCTGCGTGTCAGCCACCGGCGATAAGTTTTGAGCATCAATTATGACGTTCTTGTGCAACCTTTTAGTCTAGAGTACCGCCATTTCTCCCTTATCAGATTGACTATCACGTAAGCTGTTCTCGCAGAGGCTGTCGGTAGACCTGCCGTGGTAGGCCACAAAGTAGTCACGAAGTAGTCACGATCTGAGAGACCAGCGGGTCCAAAGATGGAGATTTCTTTCGATACCAGAATTTGCGATCGTACGAACGTTGTTCGAAATAACTTGCTTTCGGCTTTTCGTACAGGAGCAATCGGCCCTTCCGACGCATTGATATCACTGACCACGATGACCGTCCGCGATCGACGTCCGGGACGGGACAACTGATGTCCTTACGTCCGCAATGTTTCCTTCGAAATACCTTTGGATGCCCGCGGTTTCGCATCAAAGCTGCGATCACTCAATCAACTTTGTCTTGTTTCGAAACCATTACTGTGCTGGACAGGTCGGGAGTAATGGTGGATGGTGTGCTGATGCGATTATGCTCACGCGATCGCCAAAACCTGTAGGTCCTCCAGCCTGCCTGGTCAGAAAGAGCTATTGATTGGGAATGGCATGTGGGGTCAAGATACTTCATCTGGGACACGTGCGTCCTCACATGAGAGAGGGATGTGACTCGACTATCTTATGCTGGTAACATTATGACCGCGGGATATTGTAACTCCTCAATCACCCCCTCTGGTCGCAGCAGACCCGCACAATCATTGTCGCCAGCATACAGCAGGCTGTAGAGCGACAAGCTACTTGCAATTTATTGCCTTGGA